AGAGAGAGAGAGAGAGAGAGAGAGAGAGAGAGAGAGAGAGAGAGAGAGAGTGTCAGACAGAGAGACAAGAGACAGACAAGCCAGCCCTCGGCAGGAGTGGGAGAACGCGATTGATAGAGGCATTTTCCTAACATTCCCATCCTCCTAGGCTCCCCAATACCAATGGTCCCTTTACTTCTCAAACTGAACTTGAGAACTTGCACGTTGGAGATAGGAAGTCGTGGAACTGGGAATCTTTTTTTTTTTTTTTTAATTTTCCCGTTCTTTTCCCTATACCACATCTACGATCCTTCAGTACTGCCTGCAAAGGCTAATCTGTTCACCCTGGGGACAGACACACTTGTCCATTTCGGCCTGAGCTTGCTTCCTAGGTCCTTCCACCTGTCTCTTGCTGGTTTCTCTCTGCCAGTCCCGCTTTTCGCCAAACAGCTCTCCTTTCGAAGGCTCCTCGAGAGTCCCGCAGCTTCCAGCCCACATCCCCCTTGCACTCTATATTGCCCTTCTTAGGAAGGACGTACGGAGCCCGGCTAGAAATTCCCCTGCCACATTCCGTTTGTGCCCTTCCCCCAGCATCTTAATTTCTGCTCCCTGAGATGCTGCTGCTCTGCAGCGCTTTGCTGATTCACGATGATCGCGGAGGGAAAAGCCTCATTGACTTGTGCCCCTGCAAGCGCTGAGGTAGCACGAGTTGCAGCAAGGGCACCAGCGTTGGAACACCCCCCCCCCCCGACACACACACACAACACACACATACACAAGAGCAGTTGAGGTGCTAAAAGGCAGGGTGGCTGCTCTGAGTACTCAGTCCGGTAAAGAAAAAGAGAGAAGGGTGAGGGTGGCAGCGGGAAATATTGTGAACCCAGCTCATTTCCACTAAGCTAGTCGCAGGTGGTGGGTGGGCACCTGTCAGGAGGCTTAACATCTGTCTCTGTTCCACAAATCCTGGTACCAGCCCTGGGACAAAAGTAAGAGAACAGAAATCAACACACAGGGCTACTTGGCAACCTTTAACATTTGGGTGAAGCTCTTCATTCTGAATTCTTTGTCTTTCCAAATAGTTCCCTCACAACCTTGCTTAGTTTTCATCCCTAGAATTCCTTGCTTTTTTATGCCAGCCTTTATGCAGCCTAAAGATCCCGGTGCTCTCTCTGCAGTTCCGGGGCTGAATCTTAGACCAGGAGACACTGCATTGCCCAGCTGTGTTGCCCTCCCACACAGATCAGTTTCTTTGAGACCAAAGCATTTCCTTCCCATTCTTCCAACTCTAACCTTGTGTATCTCAGGGAGAGGGGACTTCTACCTTGCCCACTTTGATGCAGAGTCAAAACCTCCTGATAGCGAATTTTCTGCAATCTTTTTATTATATGCAATACAGTTAGGATTGCTTAAATCAAGCTAAAAGAGTTGTAAGAGGCAAAGAGGAAAGGAAAGAGACAGGAGAGAGAAAAGTGTGTATGTGTGTGCACGTGTTTTGCAGTGTTTCTCTCTCTTTAGACTTCTATGGAAGCACAGCCACTTCTGAAGACTTTGGTTTGGATTTGGGATGGTAACACTGCTAACAGAGCTTCTGTCAGTCTATTCATAGATGATTTCTTTACCTGATTAAATATTAATGCATAGTAATACTGTAAAATTTAGAAAATAAGAAAGAAGGGAAGACACCTGTCTCTCTTTATGCCCACCACCTTTTAAAAGTAACCTCTGTTAAAAATTACTTGCACATGTAAACACTAGAGTGAACTAAGGCTGTAACATTTATAACTATGGCGCTGAATCTTGCTCCACTACTTACTACCTACCATTTATCAAGTGAATAAATTTACCTTTTATTTCAGTTCTTTTTCTGGGAAATGGGAATAATAATACTATGTACTCCATGGAGTTCCTGTGATGATTTAAGTAGTTTGGAAGGATATAAAACACTTAAAATAGTACTTAGAATCTCACAAACAGCCAGAAAATGATAAGAATAATGATAGCCTTTGTGTGTGTGTGAGATGGAAAACAGAATCAGTCACTGACATCCAGGAACTGGCCTAGTGCTGTTAGCTGGCCTTGGTGTTGCTAGGAGCCAGGCCTGGTGCTACCATCTAAGCTTTGCTGTTCTCTTTGTGAGCATAAACTGTTTTCCAAAACACTGATGCCAAATAAGAGCATTGTGGAACTGTAATAGATTAAGACCAAATGAGGACAACTCCATAATCATGTCTGTACACAAAACAAACATGAATCTTGTCCAACTCAAAATAAGTGACCAAACAGGTCACTATCCTAACTAATCAAATTGACTATTGTGGTCTTTCAAAAATAAGTTGAAATATTGTTCTAAACTTCTCTCTATTCAGATAAAGACTTAGCAAGTCATCCAATCATAAAACTATCCCTGCTTGCTGACTGACCTAAACTGTCAAACCACAGATTACAAACCCATTTTCTATATTATAATCTTTTATTGAATGTCCTTTAGATCTCCATGATGAAATGAAGCTTGTACTATTGTTGGCATTTGGTATTGAAATATATGCATATTGATTATATGTTTCTTTTCAAAAATTGATAGCAAGTATAAGACCCCATTTTTTCATTAAAATTATGAACATTTTCTCATGTCAACTAATGTTGCCAAAGAAGATCTTATATAGTATACCTTCATGTGACTAAACTTTTATCAGATTATTTTAAAACAGTTCTGGTATTATAAATAGACTGAACAGAAGATGTGAATATTATGTACATAATCTATAATTCTGACTGCACCTTTATTTGTTTTTAGGATCAAATCTTCCTTCCTTTATTTTTTTCTTTTTAGACAGGATCTCACTGTATAGTCATGGATGTCTTGTAACTCACTATGTAGACAAGGCTGGCATTGAACTCACAGAGATCCTCCTTACTCTGCCTCCTGCATTCTGGGATTAAAGGCCTGCAACACTACATCTGGCCAATCAGATACCTTCCTAATTAATGTTAAGTTATTAGAGTAGGCAATTACATCTCTTCACATGTATAAAAATTTTCCTTAATACAGTAACAAATTAATCAGACATTACAGATAATCCTACCATCTGTTGAAATCAATCTCTTGGCTCAGCCTTGTTCAGAGATGTTCAGAGTCATTGATTATGGCATGGAGTTGGGTTTCAAAAGGAGATGTTATTTGGTTGGTAAGGTTGGAAACAGGTATACTCTTGTCTTATAAACTATTAGTATCAGCCTTCAGACACAATGGCATTTTCTGATTGAAAAAAATAAAAGTATTTCCATGCATATATCTTAAACAGTTTTATGTAAAAAACAAAGTCACTTTGCATAGCACTATCATGCAAATGATGCTTGGGTGGCTGTAATTAAGGATGACATGCAGTTGGGCATATTAAGCATTACTTTGTATCATCCTAGTCTCAATACCATTCATATATTGACAATGATATATTCTGATATCTGCCATCCTTAAGGATTTCTCTAATTTCTTTGTGGAAATTGTGAACACATTCAAGAAAGGCTGAAGCATTACATGGATCATCTACTCTAAGTGAGAGAGATCCCATGGCAAATGTAAATGTTACCTTGAATGTTTCTGTCTCTATGAGTTATCTATTGGTTTAAATTTGTTTTAACCTAGAGCAACAATGTACTCCCAAAAATGTTACCACAAAAATAACTTTTGTCTTCTTATGGTTTCAATTTCTGTGAAAAAATGCCACGACTGTAGTGTGTGTGTGTTTGTGTGTGTGTGTGTGTGTGTGTGTGTGTGTGTGTGTGTGTGTGTGTCTTATTAGAGTGGCTTACAGGCTGTGGTGTGAGTAGTTCAACAACGTCATTTTCCTGACAGAAAGGCCAAGCATATAGTAGTTGTATCCATAAGACTGGATGTACCAGAAGTCCCAGTCTTGTGCTGGAGTCCCAGGTAGGTCCTAGAGAGAGGCCAGTTTTTCATCTACATTAGAATCCCTAAGATGTAGTTTCTAATATCAGTGAAGGTATGCCTCAAGAACAGGATGGATGAACTTGATGGTGAAAATGAGGACATTCAAGCAGAAAGCAAAAGTTTCCTTCTTTGATGTCCTCTGTGTTGGCATAGCCCAGTTGTCATAGCCCAGATATATGGTGAGTCTTCCCACATCAAATAATGCAAACACACACACACACACACACACACACACACACACACACACACACAAACACACACACAAATAAAAAAATAATAAGTCTCACAGGTATGCCCAGATACTTGGGCTTTAGTTATTTACAGATGTAGTCAACTTGACAACTGTGATTAGCCATCACAGTGACCAAAAGTGAATTGAGAAGAAAAGGTTTTATTTTATCTATGGTTCCACATCACAGTCCATCATCAAAGAAAGTCAGGGGAGTGACTCAAGCAGGGCAGGAACCTGTAGGCAGGAGCTGATACAGAAGCCATGGAGGAGTGCTGCTTATTGGCTTACTCCTTA